CTAAGAATTCCACTTTCTTTTGAAATAGGAAACACTCTTTTGGATTGAGTTTCAAGTTGGCATTCCGGAAGCGGTCAAAAACTTCTTTCAGGTTATTGAGATGTTCTTGGAACGAATTTCCCATAATCATGACATCATCCAAATATACCAGGCAACTTCTCCATGTAAGGCCTCGCAAAACAAGATGCATCAGTCGCTGAAACGTAGCTGGAGCATTACACAATCCGAAAGGCATTACATTAAACTGGTATAGCCCGCTTCCGGCACTGAAGGCAGTTTTCTCTTTGTCATCGTCATGTATTGCCACTTGCCAGTATCCACTTTTGAGATCCAAGGTAGAAAACCATTTGGAGCCCGATAGAGTTGTTAGTGTATCGTCTATTCTTGGGAGAGGGAAGCTGTCCTTCTTGGTGACATCGTTTAGCTTTCGGTAGTCCACACAAAATCTAAGACTCCCATCTTTCTTTGTAACCAAAACTACTGGCGCGGACCATGGACTATTTGACTTCAATGATTCCCTCTTGAAGCATTTTATCAATTTGGTTTTCTACTTCCTGTTGCTTAGCTACTGGCATACGTCGTGGTGGTTGTCTAATTGGGTGTGCCAATCCAGTATCAATTTTGTGTTGAATTAAGCTGGTTCGTCCGGTTTGATTGTCCATCACAAATACGTCCGCTTCTTTCAAGATGAAATCTGTGGCTTCTTGCAGTCTATCTGGATCGAGATGTTTCCATGATTTCGCCAAAGTCTGCATCAAGGTGTCTGTATCCAATTTGGATTTCACGGAATGTCGCTTATCTGGTAGGTCACAGTTCGATATTTGCTTAACTGGTTCGAGAGTTCCAATAATGTCTCCTTCCTTTATTCTTACTGTTTCGGAAGAAACATTGGCAATTCTTATCATAATGTCTCCATTTGTTCTTACTAGGGTCTTTCCAACAAGAAATCTTTCTGGTTTATCTCCAACGAAATTACGTGTTAGTCCAACGCAGCACCCAGGGTTGGTTTCTAATCTTCCGCAAATGATCTTCTCAGTACTTCCAGGAATCCTCACTGGGGTTGTGGCCAAGATCTTAACGGCTTCGGATTCTTCTTGTGTTGTTAGGACAATTTCTTCGTTACCAAATTTAAGGATGTTCATGGAAGGATCAAAAGAGAAACCATGTTGGCCGATCAAATCCATTCCCAAAATAAAATCATCTTCTATATCGGCGACTAATGTTCTGTGCCTAAAGGTGGTAGATCCAAAAGCTTCTCCTTGAACTGGTGCAGATTCGCCGGTGACTGTTCGTAGTGACAGGTTTCTAGTGAGCGGTTGGATTGCTCGAGACTTGACTAATGTTCTTCTAATTATGGAAACTTCAGCACCCGTATCAAAAGTGATGGTTTTCAATTCTCCATTAATTTGTCCTTCGAATGTTAATCCTCTATAATGACTGCCCAATGATTTTATGTAAATAACCCTGGGGGTTTCGACATTACTAGCCAGCATCCTCCCTTCCGTACTAGTTGGTTCCTGTTTGTTATTAGGGCTGGCGTCTCTAGACCTTGAAAAGCGTTGAGAATGACCCCTAGGTGGAAAGGACATCCTTAGTCTACAATCCCATTGCATGTGTCCAAGCTTTTGGCACCGGTAGCATTTTACTTGGTTTCTCGGTGTTGGTGTTTGTCTGGAATCGTTTCCCATTTTTCTATCTTCTAGTAACAGTTTCTCCATTCTCTCCATGAAATTACTCATTTTAGTTTCGAAGCTACCATCCTCTTTTGAGAACTGTTGATCTTTTGGGTCTTCAATGGACACTGTTCGTATTCTGGGTCGTGAGGCATCAAATATTGCTTCCAGTCCTAATGCTCGGACAAGGGCTTCGCTACTTTGTCTGAACTTAGACATTCTTAGGTTTTCCTGGATCTTGGAGTCTCTGATACCATCAATGAACGCTGATACTGCCATCCATTCCTGCATGTCTTTTCCAGCTGCAGGAAACGCCAAACTTACTAGCCTTTTAACTTCCGATTCGAATTCTTGTAGACTCTCGCCGGGTTTTTGAACTCTTGATTTAACTTAAGTTCTGAATACTTCTTGTCTGTAATGGTCTCCGAAGCGCAGTTCTAACGTTTGACTAAGATGCTGGTAATTCTGTTGGTAGATTGAAGGAATGGACTGAAGAAGATCTAAGGCTGGTCCTCGTAGCGCCACTATCAGTGCTGTAGCTTTTTCTTGATCGTTCCATCCGTTGGTATTTGCAGCAGCTTCAAATTGTCGAATATACATGGTCCAGGACGTAGAACCGTCGAAAGTTGGTGGTTTTATCTTCATACTGGAGAATGCTCCAACACTAGCTGAATTGATGGACTGTATTCCTAATCTACGCATTTTATCTTCGAGTGCTTGAAAATGGTCCTCAACTTCTTGTCTTAATTGCTGAACATCGGCTTTGACCTCAGCTTTTATTCCCTGAACGTCGTGTTTAACTTCCCTTACATCGTCTTTAACTTCTCTTACATCGTCTTTAACTTCTTGAACGTCGATTTTGACTTCAGTTTTCATTTCCTGGACGTCGTGTTTAACTTCTTGCACATCGTCTTTAACATTTTCAATCTTTTGGTCTAGGTTAGCGACAGTTCCTTGTATGGTTTGGAATATCTTCTGCAGTTTTGCAAGGTCTTCTTGTCGTTCTTGTTGTCGCCTAGCTTCTTCTTGTTGTCGTCTAGCTTCTTCTTGTTTTTCTTTTTGTCGCCTGAGTTCTTCGTCTTGTTTTTCTTGTCGTCTTCTAGCCTCTTCTTGTTGTCGTCTGGCTTCTTCGTCTTGTTTTTCTTGTTGTCTTCTGGCTTCTTCGTCTTGTTTTTCTTGTTGTCGTCTGGTCTCTTGAAGTTCCAACATTTTGTGCAGAAGTTCTTCAACTTTTTGTTCGTCCATTTTGGCTTGTTGTCTTGTGATAGGCATATACAGAATGTTCTAGAATTTCCCTCGAACTTTCTTCAAATATCTTTTCTGGTCTTTGCTCGAAGTTCCAAACACGCCGGTTAAGTCACAAATTGGATAACTTGCTTTATTCTAGAATAGAATGTTCTGGAATTTTCTTGAAACTTCTTTTCTAGATGTCGATTGATACAGCAAGCACGTCGGTGAAGTCACAATTTCGATATCTCCCTTGGTTTCCAAATAGAATGTTCTAGAATTTTCCCGAAACTCCTCGAAAAACCTCTTCTGAATGACGATTGATGTTCCGAATACGTCGGCGAAGTCACAAATTCGATATCTCCCTTAGTTTCCAAATAGAATTTTCTAGAAGTCACTCGAAGATTCACTATCACAGTCTAAATCGGGTATAGAGTCACTTCCGGGGTAATTCACACGATCGGTTGAGTCTCTTTTTGTGATTGTCACTGTTTACACTGCACTAACTGTCCCAGTGTTCACTTAGTGTTCAGTTTTTATACTACACTAGTGTCCCCGCACTTCCGTAATTAGATTTCACTCTGTAGTCCTTTATATCTCACTCTTGACACCACTTGTCGCGGCTTTGGGTTGCCTGACAGAAATCTTGGGTTCGTCGTTCGTTTCGTTTATTCCAAAAATCAATGTCCAATTAACACAGCAATAATTTATTCCACTTAACAATACACTCTGGCACTAATTACTTTAATAACTAACTCAACAATTAAACTCTTTACAATCACTATTTAAATCGTATCACAGTCGAACTGAAAACTCAACTCACAAACCAATGCCGGCCTTCTTATATATCCCTAAATCTATTCCTGTGAAATCTAGAATACACACGATAATCTAATTTTCCAGATTAAAGTAGAATAATTCGCTAGATTCTAGTATTTCCGCCATCGATTCTTGACAGCCTGGCGGACGCCGTTTTTCTGGCGTTAACGATTTCGTAGCAATATTGACACCCTACCTACGGCCTTTACCTTTACAGGTAGAAGAAAGGTGTAAATACAAAGGTTGTACAGTTTTGGATAAATTTTTAGAAACCATGGTCAAAAACAAAATTTCTATGTCAGAAATATGAAATTTTGCATGCTTCCAGCTTTTTTCAAATGGGATGTCCTATATTTGGTTTCATATTCTTGAAGAGCACAATTTCGAGTTTCCAAAAATATATAGTATGTCTATATTTGATTGAACAGTTTCTCATATATTCGGCTCCAAAAATTGTAAAAAAACTATCCCACTACTGATTTTGTGAACCATTCTACCTGTACGGGTGAAAGCTGCAGGTAAAATTTGAGATAGGTACTTGGTTTCTCTATTAGTATTTTTAAAATTTTTAGAACCAAATATGTTGGTGACGGGTCAACCAAATATAGACAAACTATATAGTTTTGGAATCGGAAAATTGTGCTCTTCAAGAATATAGAACCAAATATAGCGCATCCCATCTAAAAAAAAACTGAAAGCATACAATATTTCACATTTCTGACATTCAATTTTTGTTTCTGACCATGGATTGTAAAAATTTAGCCAATACTGTAAAACTTTTGTATTTACACCTTTCATCTACCTGTAAAGGTGAAGGCTGTAGGTTGGGTGTCAATATTTAAAAAAACACCCTGTACCTTATGATTTAGATCTCTGACAACTTTGAAAGATTATAATTTTTTTTCTATTAGAGATAGAAAGCTGAAATTTTCAGCGAATCTTATACTAGATTTTGCAAGGTCCTTATCGATTTGACACATTTGTATCGATAAGCATCTTCATCGATATATCGTAATCGATAAGCCTTCCTCTACTGAAAAGAGGGAAAATTAAATTTGCCGATCTTTTTCCCACTATGTCTTCTTTTTTCCTATCTCTCCTCTCGGTCTTTTTCCATTGTTATTTTTCTTTCTAGTTTGTTTTTGCAGAATTCGTTTTTCTAATTTTTTTTCCTTGTTATTTCATTCCTCCATCAGTAAATTTGGACAAAAACACTTTTTAATTTTTTTTTTTTTTTTTTTCATCCTTTTTTTAATTTTCTCATGATCTCGTTACAGGGTTCTAAACTTCTCTTAAATCTTTTTTTTCCGCTTTGTTCTGGTTATAAGGCGGAATGACGAGCTAAATAATTATCGACAAAATAAAGTAAAGTCAATAGATAATGGAGAAAACAACAAAACAATGACAAAAAAAAAGAGTTATGATGGAAAATCTACAATAACATGAAGAAAAAAAGCAAAGTGTATGGTTACAAAAATTTGGAAGAAGAGCTTTTGTAACAAAATCTCGAAACTAATTAATATCCAATACATAATTCTTCTTTCGTGCGTATGTAATCAAAAACTCAAAGACGAAAAAAGAAAAAAAAAAGCAGCTTCTTTGTCCTGCTTCTACTGATGGCATCAGGTAGACCTGCCGCCGAAGAACAATGAAGAATGAAACACGCTTCTTCTTTTTCATCCACGTTCAAGTACGACCGGTTTAGAGCGTGTTAAAATGATGCCTCACGTTCCTTGAGATCTTTTTTTTTTAAACGCAAGCAATATGAAACACGAGATTGAAGAGGCAAGATTATTTTACCATATAAAAGTTTAAATTTTTGCTACTTTTGATTGTCGAAGACCTAATGAAATCGGGTTTAATTATATGGCCATTATCTCATCTACTCTTGGAGAGAAATTAAAAGCCGCATTCCAAAAAAAAAAAATAACAGAAAAGGACTTGGTTTTCTTTTACCTACCTGTTGTGTATAAGGCCGTATCTAATCATTACATCCTGTCCGAGTAACCGCCCACCTCACTTAGAGACTTTTAGAGACCTTTTTTACACCCTAACCGGTATTCTTGTGCACGTGAATCGCCTCGGGCCGTACCGACTCTGAAATGACCCAGGCGATGGACCCATGTAGAGAGATTAGGTAGAGATACACCAGGAATGGACTCAGATTTTTTTCTAATATCATAAATCAGTTGACATTTGTTTAAACTTGATTTGAGTTTAATTGCTACAAATAAAAAATCTGAACTGATAAATTGATGTCACTTTTCCGTAAACCAAATGAAATCCTTATCGGTAATGATTTTTTTTTTAAGAAATGCATGATAGACAATCTGAATAGACTTTAATGGGACCAGTTGACTGATATCTGATCGTCACAGTTGATCATAGATCGTTTACATACAAGCTAATTCGTCTTATTACTCCATGCCAAGAAAATTATTATTTCTTCTATCAGAGGTATTTTCACTTTCTTCTAACCATACAAAGTGTAGTCCGCTCCTGTTCATCATCGGATTAATAATTCGAAGGAGCAAAAAAAAAAACAACAACCGAAACCTCGAACCCATAAAAAAAAAGGGTCCCTCGTCTCGATTTTTGGCCAAAAGAGAATGAGAGAATTGATGACCAAGAACGATTAGGCGGAATGATGGTTTGTATAATAAATGGAGGTTTTAGATTATTTTAATCACCCCGGAGGGGTTTAAAATATTTATCTCCTACCTGTTGAGGTGTCTAAGACTAATCACATAAAATAAACTGTCTTGATGGTTCGTGGACCCAGATTGAATTTTTAGATAAGAGTTCGTGACTAATATAATAATATATTTTGTGTCTTGTTTCATTGGTTTTGGGTTACAAAAAAAACAACCCCTATGATAAATGACTGTACCATTGTCATCTAATGAGCGGGGCATTACCAAGCAAGGCCAGTAACTTGATATATCTGCTGATGTTGTGTCTAGACAAAAGCAACTCGCACTTGTTGGTGTCAATTTACCATTTTAAAGTAATTTATTTTAAGGTCACTTGAAGTAACTGGAATCGGAAACACGATGCACATACATCATTCAGTACATGCCAATTTGGTCAAACTTATAAGGACCTTTTCACTTTCTTAGAATAGTCTTTTGAACGTAATTGTAGTACTCCTACAAAAGCACCATGAATGAATTGTGAAGGTCTTTGGCTAAAATTTTTTGATAAACTTCACTACACAATAAAACCCTATTTAAAAGTTTCTAAGAGTTTGTAAAATTCAATAGACTAGCATCCATTGAGAAGTACCTCGAAAACACTTTAAAAGGCATTCTTCCTTTAAAAAAAAATGCACTTAAATGCGGATGTAGCGTAGCTAACGTAGTATTGAAGATGTTATAGTAACTTTAGAATTTACTATACCTACACCTGGAGTACCTACTATTGTTATATAGGGTTAAAAGCAAACTTTAATGGACTCTATTGTTGATAAAAGTACTTTTGGCTGTTGGTGGTCGCAAATTAATTTCGCCCAGCCAAAAATAAACGAACAGAGAAAAAAAAAGCCAGATGATGGAACCACATGTAACGACTACCAGGCACCCGTGGGATCGTCGGGACGTTTACAAGTGTGCGACTAAAAATAGAGCGAAAAGAAAAAAAAAATCTGCTGTATACCGTGAGAAAACGGCTGGGATCCCAAAAACAACATCCAGAGTGAGTGGATAGATTTACACTGGGAATTTTTGAGGAGATGATTTTCTCCAATCCCCAATTCATTAACAACAATATTTGAGTTTATTTTAACATGAGGTGAATTCAAGTGAAACTCTTCAATCAACTAGCATTACATTGATTTTCCATTAATAAACTTGTTGATATTGAAAAGATTGAATTTTTTTTTCTCGTTCCTAATCACCACATCGATCTTATTACAAAGTAATAGAAGGCCGCGTGCAAAGCACGTGCACCTAGAGCCACATCAGGTTCGTGGTTGTCGTGCCGAAGGATGGCGTATTCCGGCCTCCTGGAGCGTGGCGGGCCGCGCGCCTTTCCCACGGTTCCGGCCTCGGCCACCATAATGGGTAGCGTGATCAACGGTGATTATTAATAATCATTATATCGACTTTTTGCGTGCTCTTGTATATGATCAAAATATAAACAATGATACGGATCATGAAATTCGAAAATTTGTTGAAGTTACTCGTCGATGAAATGTTTTCCATTGTAGAATATATGAAGGATTTGGAAGCTTTTATCCAATTTCGATAGAGAATAAACCCATTATCATGGTTATTAACACCATGATAGTTTCTACTCATTCACATTGATTCATAAACCTCAAATTCTATTTCTTCTCTCCACCTAATAACAAATATACTTACAAGATAAAAGACAACACTGAGAGAATTAATTTTAGACCATTATAAAAATCTTAATAACCTTAATAAAAATATCGTATAAAATGGGGGACAGAAAAGCGCTGTAGTTACCATTATAAAAGTCACTTTATAAACTACTACTTTGCTACCATTGATAGACCAATTTACTGAAATCGCCTAAAGACCATTAAAAATAGTTTTGAATGGCTAAAAAACGATTTTTTAACTGTCAATAAATATTTGATGATGGTTATTAAATTGTATATTAACCTTTAATATATCTTATAAGGGATAATACACTGAAAGAAGGATTTAGTTATAATAACCTAAAATTAGTGACTAGAACTAAATCGCTTATTGAAATATGGCTTATTAAACCTTTGGTCATAACACACAAATTATTTGTTTAAAATTTGAGAATAAAGCACTTATTTAATGATATACTCTATCTAATAATAATTAATTAACGCATATTAATAATAAATAAATATTTTGTTCTCTGAAGTTGGTGTTTGCTTCTGGATTTTCTGTCTTTACTAATGGTAAATTGATCATATTTTTCAAAAATATACGTTTGTTAATAATAAATTCTGGTTTCTTTTGCTGGAATAAATATAACTTTATATTTATTACCAGTAAGTAAACAATACTTGATTCAAATAATCATTTATTAATAGTAAAAAACGTTTATTCGCAAATATTATTTAGTTTTGTTACTGTTAATTTGGAATTATTTACCATAAGTATTTTTTTTTTAAGCCCGGTTGTACAATTGAAGCCAATCATGGCTTAGTTAAGCTTTCTGGTACTTGAAACCTTCCCATTTAAAATGCACAGCTGTAAGATTTGACAACACGTTGACAGTAATGCATTTTAAATAGGAAAGTACAAGTAACAGTTAAGCTTTAATAAGCCACGATTTATAAGCTTCGATTGTACCACTGGGCCTTAGTTTGTTCCTGGGAATAGGGCACTCTGAAATAATTAAAAACGAACCGATCTTTTTTTGAATTTATTTTTCTTTGGTAGGCTAGATTCTCACATAGGTAACATCATTTTGTTGAAGAACACAGCAACATGGCGGGTGTGCATGCGGTGACCTGTGAATGTAATAATGAACTATAACTCGATTATCTTCTCAGGTGTAACAGGAAAAAAAGGTGAATACAAAGTTGCTTGGTACCTATTAATTAACTGGCGCTTCTTCAGAAAATATGATTACGTTTGCAGTTTTATAAAACAACTTCAGCATCACCATCACAGCACGTTTCCAAAAACCGTTGTAATTCGACACTGTTGTGTTCCGCCATGCTATCTTCCATATGATTTAATAATTATTACACTCAGAGTTGGGATAATATCATTTATAAGTTGAATGTTAACTTTGTATTTTGCCGAAGCACGCCAGAATAATGCAAAAGTAGGGAGTCGGTGGAACAGATAAGAGAGAACATAGGTCAAGGTGTTTCTTCTTTCACGCCTCGAAGCCAAAAGAACCAAAAACTCACAAATATAGGCGATAAACAGTGGACAGTGGCGGGTGTACCAACGTTTGTTTACTAGTATTATAATGTATGTATGGAAAATAAGGATTTATTATTAGAAACCAAGGAACAAGTTGAAATTTCAACTAAACTGTGTTAAAATGGAACATTATATATTTATTAATCTATACTTACCATTTGTTTATAATTACTAAACCAGAACATTCTGTTAATAAATTATATTTATAAAACCCTTGTAAATCAATGTAAGAAATATTTTGTTCATTATTAACAAACATTGTTTGATATAAGAAAATGAGTCCTAATAAATTATTTGTATTTTATAAATAACTATTTTTAACAGTCATATTTTTAATTACCAATTTAATGTATTTCTTACCAATGCATATTAATTATAATATTGGTTTGGTATTTGTAACCAAATTTGTTAGAAACAAATATTTATTTACTATAATCTCGAATTTTTTTTCAGTGTATA